TGGCCCCTTCCCTGCTCTGTGACCTTGATGGAGTGAGCCGGACCTTCCCGGGCCCGGTGAGCTGGATGCTTCGCCAGGAGCATCTTTCCCCTCTCCTTCAGGAGCTGCTGGGGATTTGCCTGGAAGCTGAGCGCAGCGGGGTCACAGCTGAAGGAGGAGAGGTGGTAGGGTAGGGAGGGACCAGCAGAGAGTCCCCATGGTTTAAATGTTAATTTTGAATTCACCCAACCTCAGCCTGTGTGTTTTCCTGCCTCAGTTTCCCCTTTATGGACCCAAACAGGGTATAAGTGTCAAATTTGGACACAGGAGAGGAGAAAGCTGCCCCAGCTGCCTTCCCGAGAAAGCAAGGATGGGCCGAGGCAAGACGCACGGCTCGGAGCATCCCTCCTCCGATGAACCATTTGTGATGCTGCTGGCGGGGCTGGGCTGGGGGACGTGGTGCCCTCGGCTCCTGGGGGTCTTCATTCATCCCAAATAGCGGCTTTTCCCCAGTGGGTGTTTCCATCTCCAGCTGTGATCGATGGGAGCCTCCGGGCAGGGATTAAACCCCCTGGGTGTAGCAAAGCAGGAGCTTCTCCATCTCTGCCCCTTCCCTGGGTGGGGTGAATCCAGCTTGTACCACGGCAAACTATTGCCATGTGCCTTTGACCCGCTGCAGCGGTGGCTCCTGAGCTGTCAGTGCAAAGGGCTACGGTGGTTGAGGCCACCCCTGCCTCCCCTGGACAGGGGGGACATGGACGGGGGATTGTCACTTGGTGCAAGCAGGAGCCCCGGGCTCAGCCAGCGAGTCTGATACGGGAGCAGGGCTCAGGGGGGATGGTTGTTGCTTTGCACGGGGGCTGAGGTCCTGCAAGGGGTTGGACGTGAAGGCACCCACCGGGGACCGTGAAAGTGGGAATCCCATTCAAGGAGATACTTAGGGACACCGAGCGGTGGGAGATGCAGGAGGTAAGTTATCCCCGGGGACAACGCAGTAATGCTTTCCCCAACATCTCCCCTCGTAACGCCCCGCGGGATGTTGTTGGCTGCTCTCAAGTGATCTCTAGAGACAGTGGCACTGACCCCAGCACAAGCTGGTCCTTTCCCTGGTCCTGCCGTGGGAAAAGCCACGGTCCCTCTCCAGGCACCTGCGTGGGTGCCATCAACACTGGTTTTACCTGGGCAAGGCGATGGGTGCAAAGGCACCCCTGGTCTGGCAGTGCAAGTGAGGTTATTACAAGTCGTGAGCTCTGAAAGACCCTAATCTGCCTTCTAAAGAGAAAGAAAAAAATGCACATTTAAGAAAATTAAGGTCATGAGGGCTAAGTAAACAAGCTGAATCTCCATCTGTCAGCGACAAGGGTTTTCTGTCTCTCTCCAGCCCGGAAAGCTCCTGGTTGTCAGCTGATCTGCCTCGTCTTTCTTGCAGGGTGGTTATTATGTTTGGCAGATGAATTTTTGATTAAATTCCCTTTTCAATCAAAGAAATGAGTGGAAATACCTTTCCCAGATGGATTTGGACTGTGCTTTCCAGTTTGAGGGGTGCGGACCTTGGGGCTGATACAAAATGCTGGGGAAATTAATAGGAAGAGCCCTGTTGACCTCACTGTTCCCTGGATTGGGTCCTGGTGCCCTGTGGGTCAGTGGCTTTGTGCTGGTTCTGGCTGGACTCATCTCACGGTACCGGCAGGGACGTGGACGGCAAAGGTTGGGTATGGTCACAGCATCGCTGTCGGGAATGGTCCTGTCTCCTTCAGGCCTGGATCTCCTCTGGGCAACACCACCATCACGAGGCTGGGGCTGAGCCATTTGAGAGACAGCGGGACCTCCCCAAGCAAGCCATGGGGACAGAGCCATGCCGGGATCAAGATTTGGACCTCTGTCATGCTTTGCCCCTGCTCTAGTTTGATTTGGGTGCATCTCCCATGGGGAGGAAGACTTGTACCTCTGCTCCATTTACCCTCATCTCATCCTCCGGTGTCATCTCATCCCAATGCCTAGAGAGCCCTTGCCCCAGCCCCAGGAGAGCAGCCAAGCACCCCTTTTGATCCCTAAATCCTTTGGGAACGTTGCTGTCTCAAGTGTCCTCCAAGACGCTGAGAGCCTCTGGGGCTTTGGAGGTGCTTGAAGAAACCTGCTCCTCAAGGACCGCTGTGTCCTGCTGCCTCTCAGCTCCTAAGGATGACGCTGGGGGGGGACCTAAACTGAGGAGGGGGAGAAGTAGAGATCCAGAGGGAGATGCTGTGGGGTCTGGTCCTGACCCCATCGCGCTGGTCTGGCTCAGCATCGCCTTCCCTGGAGCCGGGCACCTCCCAGGCTTTGCTCCGAGGGGTTGAGCTGTCCCAGGTGAGCAGTTTGGGTGCCCTTGCCATGGGGCACTGAGCTCTGGGGGCTCGGCCAGCAGATCCTAGGTCTTCTAGGGTTTATCCCTAATACAAAGAGAGACTTTAGCCCCCGAGGCTGAGTCCTCCTGGAGGTCCGAGTCACCCTCGCTCAGAAGGAGCTTAAGCGGCTGCCGAGCGGACAGGGAGCAGCAAACAACTTGTGGGTGATTCAACCAGTCTGCGCTAATCTATACAGAGCCTGATCCAAAATCGATGGAAATCCCAGTGATTTCCTGGCTGCTGGATGAGGCCCTTCCCTACCCTCTGTGCCTGTCCCCATCCTGGCTGAGGATGCTCCAGCCCCAGGCAGCCACGTGCCAATAATTGCCACGGTCGAGCCATGAGCGGTTTACGTGAATGAACCCTCGTTAGGAAATTAAACATTGCTGGGCCAGGCTTGAAAGAATAATTCAAGCGGCTTCTCCGGAGGAGCCGGATCCAGGAAAGATGTGGAGCCGACACGGTTGCCTGGCAACGGATGCAGCTGACAGCCGAAAATAGCTTTTCTAATAGGAACAGGGCCCGGCAAACGGAGATCTTTCCTCAGGGGTGAAAAAACACCAAGGTGAGGGCGAGGGAGGGTGAGGTTTCCTGCTGCCGATGCTTTGCTTCCCTCCCAGGCGCGATGGTTGGGGATGGGCTTTGGTGCCTGGGCTGAACCCCCTGCTCTGGAAAGGTTTGGGATTGCGGGCTTTGCTTGGGGCTGAATTGGGTCAAAAAGGAAAGAAGAGCTGGGGATGGCTCTGGGATAACATGAGAGAGTTTTCCTTCTGCTCGCCTAGGGGGGACAGCGGGAGGTCCATCCCGAATCGCCCATCCTGTATTATCTTGGATGATATCATCATCATTGGTATCATCATTGGAAGAGGCTGCCCAGGGCAGTGGTTGAGTCCCCATCCCTGGAGGTATTTAAAAGACGAGTAGATGAGGCGCTCAGGGACATGGTTTAGTGGGTGGTGGTGTTGGGTCGACGGTTGGACTCGATGATCTTAGAGGTCTTTTCCAACCTCAATGATTCTATGATTCTATCTATCCTGATAGAGACCAGCCACCCGCACCGAGGGTTGGCTGCTCCAAGGACTGCGCTGATGGGTTATTTGTGTAATGTCACCTGTAAGCTGCCACCCGGGTCTTGTATGAGCCTTGAACTGAAGGAGAAAGCCCTCAGGGTGAGGGTGAAATGATGCTGCGGCCAGGCTGGGGTGGGACAGGTCCTCGGGCATGGCACCATCACTCTTCCAGGGGTTGGTGACCGGCCTGGTGTCCCCTGGGAAGCGGGGATGGAGGGGAGAGAAAAGAAGCAAGCGTGGCTCTTTGGGAGAGTCATTTTTTCCCCCAAGATGTGGGTTTTCTGTGTCTCCTCCCCAGCTGGCGAAACTCTACGGTCCCAGCTGGGCGGGAGCTGCCAGTTTGACCCCAGTTCTCCCAGTATGGTGAGGAGGGACATGGTGCTTTCCCAGGTTGGGGAGCCCCAGCCCAGCAGAGTGGATTTCCCTGATGCCCCCAAGCTTTTCAAGGCGGGGGTGAACACTGCAGGGCTGAGCCGGGTTGTGGGCACCCCCTGAAAGGCCTCCGTGCAGGATCGCTCCCGCAGCCGGAGGAGTCCCTGGTGCAAACACGCAGCTGCCCTGTTTGCAAACGCGACCCGCCACGTGTACGCGACGCGACCCGCCACGCGTATCATCGCCACGCCCACACTCCCTTCCCCAGGTCCAAGAATTACCCTGCCCGCGCCCATCCCGGCCCTGCACCCGTGGGATCTGGTGCCATCGGTTTTGGGAATGAGGCGGCGGGGGCAAACTGGTGTAACTGGTGTAACCGCACGGGTGCTGTGGGACTGGTACAGCGCTCCCTGGCCAAGGCTGGCCCACGATGAAGGCTGGGAAGGTGGAGGGGCCGGGACGATTGATGGCTTTGCCTTGGCTGTCGCTGTGTTGCAGCCGTTATCTGTTGTAAAGCTGCCTGGGAAGATTTAACTGCAGGCTCCCAGGCTTTTAAGTCACTCCTGATAATGTCCAGGGATGGAGAGAGAGCTCGGGAATTTGTCACTGTCCCCCCAGTGCTTTTGAGCTGTCGTGGGGCTGAGCCCGGGCTCTGCCGAGGGGCCAGGAGGGGAGGGAGTGGGGCAGGGAGGGCAGAGCCCTGGCTGGTGCTGGATGTGGTGTCAGCCCTTGCCAGTGCTGCTGGCCCGGGAACGGGGTTGTTGGAGGAGAAAAGAGGCGTCACGGCGATGTGACCGGCTCCATCGCTTGTCACCGTCCCCTGCAGCCCGGGGAAATTCCCTCCTGTGGGTTGCGGGAGGCTCTTCTCCGTGAATGCTGAACCAGGGGGTTGCTCCTGGTCCATCATTCGTGGAGAAGGGGGCCCTTAGCATCCCCCAGCCCAGAGGGAGGTCCCCAAGGCATGGGGTGATGGAGACCCTTCTCCCCCTGGTGCTGCCGCTCCCACCAGCACCAGGACACCCTTGGGGTAAGGCAAAACCAACTCATCCTCTGTTCACCCCTTCCCCACCCAGGTCTTGCTGATGAAGAGGAGGTGAGGCCCGAGCTGTAGCTCACACGGGTGCCGTTCCCTGTGGGACACTCATCTTCTCTCCTCACCCCATCCCGCCCCCCGGGGCTGCGCGGAGCCGTCCCGATGCCGAAGAACAGCAAGGTGACGCAGCGGGAGCACAGCAGTGAGCATGTCACCGAGTCGGTGGCCGACTTGCTGGCCCACGAAGAGCCCGTGGACTACAAACGAAGCGTCCTCAATGTGACGGGGGAGACCTGGGACAAGCAGAAGGATGGAGAGGAGGAGCTGGACGCGGAGAACCGGCCGGCGTGGAACAGCAAGCTGCAGTACATCCTGGCGCAGATCGGCTACTCCGTGGGGCTGGGCAATGTCTGGCGCTTCCCCTACCTCTGCCAGAAGAATGGAGGAGGTGAGAGATGGGGCAGGGATGGGCTCAGCCCTTGGAGAAGGGGGTATGGCCCAATCCTGCCTCGCTGCACGTCGCCGTGTGGATCCCGGGGCAGGACGGGGTTTATTTGGGCTCTGAAGGAGGAAAGGGGCAGCCAGGAGCTGCTCGCCACTGTGCGTGCATCAGTGCAGAGATGCAGGAACCTCCAGGACAGCCTTTTCCTAAAGGGTGTCCGCCTGCCTGCTCCAAAGTCAAGGCGAATCCCAGGCCGGGAGCCAGGATTTCTCGCTGCAGCCCCCAATTCCTGTTGGGGCAATTTGGAAACTAGGGGGGGGGGAAGAGGAGAGTCCTTCCACTTCCCTAGGTCCTGAAGCCACGTTGTGTAGGCTCCAACCCCTTCCCAAATCCTCCTCTGAACAGCCTGTCTTCCCATCCCAACCCATGCCTCCTCCTTGGGCTTCCAGGAGCAGGCCGGAGGGCCAGGTCTCTTCCAGCTGTGCTGAGACCCCACAACCTTCATGACGCTGATGAGAGGGCGAGTTGCTCATCATTAATCCAAACCCAGCCCTTGAGTCCTCTCCCCCGCAGCGCTGACCTCTGCAGCGATGGGAAGCAGCCCCTGCCGAGCGGCATTGAATGAAGCCAGGATCAGCCCAGCTTTCCCCTCTCCCCCTTGCACTCGCCTCGTTCCCGGCGCTGCATCATTCGGCGTGCCCCCAGCCCCGGAGCTGGCAAGCCTGCAGCACTCTCAATAATTAAAACATCTCTGGTGTCACCTTCACTATGAGTCATTCTCCCAAACGAAGACCCGTGCAGTCAGCACTTCCCACCCCGGGGCTGCTCTCACCCCCATCGCCTCCCCTTCCCAGCTGGGATGGAGCACGCTGCGGCCGGCTCCTGCATCCCAGCACCTCCCCAGCCACCGGCACGTTTAGCTCCCTGCACCCTAGTTTGGGTCCAGGTGAGGCTCGGTTTCGGTGCCGCATGGCTTCGCGTGGTGTGTTCGCCGCGTTGCAAAGCTGATGGCGGGGGGGGTGTCTCAGCGTGGTCTTGGGTTGCAGCGAGCATCCGCAGGCGTTGCGGGGCTTGAACGCCTGCGTTAGCTGCATCGCACGTGCCGGTGCGCGTGTGCATCGGCTGCAGCGGGGAGCGTTGTACGCATGGCTCGAAGGAGGTCGGAGGCAGAGCCCGAGGTAAATTCAGGGTTGGGATGGGTTGATACGGCCCTGCTGGCTTCATTACACAGCTCCCCGCATCTGGCCTCTGACTTCCAAGGAGGTTTTGCCGATTAAATGAGATTGGGAACAAGCTCAGACCCAGAAGTTGGAGATCCAGAGTCCTGCTGCTCTGTAAACACTTAACCCAGCTGTGCCTCAGTTTCCCCACTGGCACGGCAATCAATAACTAACGGTAATTAGCGCAATGAATGAAAATTTCTCAGCTTATGCTGAGGTCTCTGCTGTCCTGCATGTTTGTGGGGCTTTAGCCTCAGCTGTCTCAGGTGCTGGGTAACAGGAGGAGCAGCTTGTGTTCCCGGGCTGGGATCCATCCTGGTGTATTCCCTAGCAAATCCAGGGCTGAATTTGCTGTCTGTATGCGGGGAGCATTAAGGAAGTGGTTTTAGACAAAAGCCCAGATGGGATGTGAAGTGGGGAACGGGGAATTGAACCTACAACAGCCCTGAGACCCACTGCAGCGGAGGAGACGGGCGTGCTGGCTTCGAACCCGGCGGCTCAGCCCCATCCTGCGGTGGGACGCAGGGGCACTGAGCCAGGCATGGACCGGGACAAGCAGCTGGTTTTAGGAGCTCCTTGCTGTTGTATAACGCCTTCCTGCAGCAGGTCTCAAAAAAGGCTTTACAAGCTGCCCCAACCATTGCCCCTATTTTACAGGTGGGGAAACTGAGGCACGGAGCTGGGAACTGGCTTGAGCAGCAGATTGCTGAGCTTTCCTGCACTCTTTCTTTTGGCCAAGTGGCATCATCTCCCCTGTCCCATGGGGCAGACACTGATTTTCTGCCTTTTCTTCCCACCACGTTTAACCTCTTGGCCCCCGGCTGGGGTTCCCACCAGGCTGTGAGGCTGGTGCCAGACAGACGGACGTGGGAGCTGGGCAGTGATGGACAGACCACTTCTGGGTGTGCTGAGCAGCCCTGGGATGTGGTGGCGGCTGCTGCTTTCTCTCCTGCTCCCCAAGCGGGTGTCTGCGGGGGAGAACCGCTGTGTGCTGGAGCCAAATTTCCAGGTCTCGGTGTGCCGGGAGCCAGCCCGGGCTGGCAGTGCTGCCCGCCGCGCTTCCACGCCGGTGCTGCCGAGCACGGCGATGCACGGGCATAAGCCGGTGCCCATCTTTCCAGAGATCACAGGAAGGAAATCTCCAATATTGGACAAATTCGCATCTGAATCTGTCCATCCGTCTCATCTCTGTCTGTCCGCAGGTTGAGATGTGGATGCTCGTGGTCCGTCCCGAATTACACCGGGCTCCAGCTCTGCCCTGGTCTCTGCCTCTCCTTTCGTCCTCCTAATCGCCCTGGGCCGCTGCATCTTAATTTATCTCCCCACCTGCGTTTCTAACCCATCAATCCCCAACCCGCTGCCAGGGCGCGCGGCTCGTGACACTATTGCGGGCTGAACCACTTTGCAGCGCCGCTGCTCGGAGCAGCATCAGCTGCCACGGGTCCTGCCTGGGGCCGGGGGGTGGTGGCTGTCACCCAGGCGTAAACCCAGCTGGGAATTTGCCCAAAGCAACCGGGCTCCGGCGTATGCCTTTGGATCGCCTGCCGCCCCGCAGGAGCGAGCCACGTGCTCCCGAGCCCGTTCCTCAGCCCCTAGCAGGAGGTTGGAGTAATTTATCAGTTGGGCGCTGCAGCATGAGTCATCGCATCCTTTACGGTCATTTGGTTATGCTTCAGGAACTGCTAATTTCTCTCCGGCCTCCTCAATTAGGCAGAGATTAACCGAGTTTCTAATTTGAGCTGTTTCTACCCCTACCAGAGGACCTCGCTCCGTACTGGGCGGCACGCGGTGTGGTGAATGCTGCTGCCGGGAACGCGGGGTGTCCCTTGGGGGTTCGTGTCGGTGCAGGGGGCTCGTCTGTGCTCGGACACGCATGTGCAGGCAGGACCTGGGTGAGAAGGAGGGCTCCTGCCTGCCCGTGTGTCTGAGATGGCCGGGAACGTGTGCGTGTCCCCATGGGTTGGCTCGCAGAGGCGTCTCCTTGCGTGTGGGGCGATGTGCCTGTTTGGATGTGGTGTGTCTTTAGGTGTGTTGGGGTCTACCCCACATGTACCCACACTGGCAGGGGATGTTGCACCCTTCCCTTCCGTGCTTGTCTGTTTGCTCTTCTCCACGGCTGTCTTCTCTGCTGCCCAAGCACTGATCTGCGTTCCCAGATCCATTGCGAATGAACCGATGGACCAGGCAGAGCCTGTCCCAGCTCTGCCCTGCCTGTCCATCCCTGTCCGTCCATCCTTGGCTTCATGAGAGCAGGCAGAGACGGGTCCATGATGAGCTTTCTCTCCTCTGCCAGGTGCCTACCTGGTCCCGTACCTGGTCCTGCTCATCATCATCGGGCTCCCCCTCTTCTTCCTGGAGCTGGCGGTGGGGCAGCGGATCCGCCGGGGCAGCATCGGCGTCTGGAATTACATCTGTCCTCGCCTGGGGGGCATCGGCTACGCCAGCTGCCTCGTGAGTGCACCCATGGGTCCCCTTGGGCCTCTGCCTCGGGGTGCGTGGGATGGCTTTGAGTGCTGGGATGGATGGCTATAGGCTGGTTGGGGAGGGGGGGAGGGGGGGGGGGGGGTGGCCTGGAAGCAAACCTCGAGGGGCCCTGTGCAGAGGTTTGAGAGGTCAAGGGGAGTTTTTCCAGCTCCACCCGTGTGTTTAGGGCTGGGTGGGAATGGGCCCCTCCCCTGATCCCAACAGCCCTGCTCCCCCCCGGGTCCCTGCCCGGTGGGAGGTGTGTTGGGGACAGTGTCACTGCCCCGCGATTTAATGTCCTCCTTCCTCCCCCCAGGTCTGTTTTTTTGTCGGTCTCTATTACAACGTCATCATCGGCTGGAGCATCTTTTACTTCTTTAAGTCCTTCCAGTACCCTCTTCCCTGGAGCGAGTGCCCCATCGTGAAAAACGGCTCGGTGGCCAGTAAGGGACGGCCGCTGGCGCGGGGGGAGGCTCGGCTGGGAGGGAGCAGTGCCCAGGGAAGGGGGGCTGTGGGACACTGGGGACCCCCAACATCTGTAGCTATCACAGGTAGGGACACCGGAGGTTGAGGTGTCTTCTGGGGCACTGGGTCCTCTCCGGTCCAGCTGCCTTGATCACATGGAGATGTTTCCCTTCGGTTGGACGAGTCTCTCCCATGTTCTCCCCTCGGGGTCTGTCCCACTGGTGGGATTTGATGCCAGTTTGGGGATCCAGAGCTCGGGTCTCCAGGCTGCCGCAGTGCTCAGGGCCAGGATCTGACCCAGGACCATGGAGGGAGGCAGCGAGAGCCAGGCAGGACTCACCTGGCTGCTCCATCAGTGCCGGACTGAGATGCTGATGGAGTTAATGGTGTTTAATAGCATCTGAGTATCTCCTTGGGACACTCTGGGAGGTTTTATAGCAAATGCAAATGTCTCTCCCTGTATTTAACATCTTATTTTCACCTGACAATGGCTTTATGTCCCGTCTCTTCTTTTTCCTGCTAAAAATGAGCCCCATTAATTCCTGTCCCTTAGTTTCCAGGGGTGCCTGCCTTCCCTGGCCGGCTCCGGCAGGTCTTTGACATTAATTGACATTCATCCCCTAAGAGATGGTGGGTGACTCTCCCCCAGCCCCCTCACGCTCCCCTGCCTCTGCTCGGTTGCAGTTGTGGAGACCGAATGCGAGAGGAGCTCGGCCACCACCTACTTCTGGTACCGGGAGGCCCTGGACATCTCCAACTCCATCTCGGAGAGTGGAGGGCTCAACTGGAAGATGACCCTGTGTCTGCTGGTGGCCTGGAGCCTTGTTGGCTTAGCCATGATCAAAGGCATCCAGTCCTCGGGGAAGGTGGGTATCGGTGGCCACCTGAGCCTGCCTGGGGTCTGTCCTCGAAGCAGAAACCTCCTGCCTGGACCATGCTCTCCTGCCCTGATCTGGGGTGGCTGGAGGATGCTGTGTCCCCTGGGATGCTCCCACCCACTCAGAGTTGGGGCCGTCTCTGGGGCGATGCAGAATAAGATCAAAAGAGGGTGTAGGGAAGAGGTTTAGTCCTACTGACACCCGCAGCCATGACCCAGGGCTCAGCCCTGTCAGGCTAGCCAAATCGCCTGCCCAGCCCCTGCATTCGGGGGCCGTCAACTGTCCGATCCCCTGAGGCACACCATCTTGATGCATGCTCGTAGGATGTAGGGGCGACAGCTGAGCCCGCGTTCGCAGGGGGAGCACTGGGACTCTGCGCAGGAGAAGCAGGGCAGGGAGGAACAGAAAGCTTTGGGAGAGGGATGCCGTTAGCTTGCAGAGGCCGTTGACATTTCAAGCAAGGCTGTGTAAGCAGTGGGGTCAGATGCAGAAGGGTATGGTCTCCTGGGACAGTTGAACTTCCCTGTCTCCATACGTGCTCTTGCAAAACCTCTCGTGTGTTAGCAGGTAGCAGAGGGCGATGAGACTTCTGCCCCGTGGCCCCAAGAGCAGGGGGGTGGGAGTGAGCTGCAGGAGCAGGGCCACGGCAGCAGGTCTCCTCTGCCCGGGATGAAGCCCCATCCATGTCTGCTGATCAGGGCACTGGAAACATGCCCTGTGCCGGGAACCAGCTGGGGCTGCCTGCAGCCCTTGGCAGATGCTGGAGGAAGGGGCTGGGGTGGGGGTGCAGAGCTGTCCTTCCCTCGGGCTCCCCCAGGCACCAGCAATTTCTGTTTCAGGGATCTTCTGAGCCAACACTGGCATCTTTGCGTTCAGCAGCCCCAACAGATTTTCTCTCTTAAGTGTGTCGAAGCACTTTGCAAATCCACCTGAGCTTCAGCACTTGCAGCATCCTGCCCTGCCTGAGGAGCAGACCTCATTTTGGGGAGGGTAACCCTCCCTTCTCACCCCTGTTGAGCTGTCCCTGGGTTGGATGGGGAGGTGGCTGAGCTCAGCGGGCAGGAAACGAGATTGTGCCCGTGTTGCATTCCTCTTGCCCTAGGTGATGTACTTCAGCTCGCTCTTCCCCTACGTGGTGCTGGTTTGCTTTTTGGTGCGGGGACTTCTGCTGCGTGGGGCGGTGGATGGGATCATGCACATGTTCACGCCCAAGGTAAGAGTCTCCAAGCCCAGCAGACTCCAAGCAGGTTCTCCTCCCGGCTGGTCACACCCCATTTTCCCTTATGCTCCCCACCCCAAAAACCAGAGTACCAACCCCAAACTACCTCGGAGATCCTGATATATCATCAGGATGTGCCAGCAGCACCCTAAATACGGGGTATGGCCAGGACAACCGAGAGCCTCGCAAACTCACCACCCTGGAGCTGCTTTGAGCCTTAGCATCACTCCCGTCACCTTTAGGTGCCCAGACGCCAGGGTCGGGGTGTGGGGGTGCCCAAGGCGATATATTTAAAGACTTCATGGGAAGATGCTGGCTGGCAGCAAAACCTCTGCTGGTGGTATGCATCCATTGACTAATTAATTAAGCAGAGATGTAAATGAATCAGCTCAGCCGGCGAGGCTGTTAGAAGATGTTAATTATGATCTCTTGATGAATGATGCTCGGAGACCTCCAGCCTGCGGCTCTGGCTGGCAGGAGTGGCCAGGACAACCGAGAGCCTCGCAAACTCACCACCCTGGAGCTGCTTTGAGCCTTAGCATCACTCCCGTCACCTTTAGGTGCCCAGACGCCAGGGTCGGGGTGTGGGGGTGCCCAAGGCGATAAGACTTCAGACTTCATGGGAAGATGCTGGCTGGCAGCAAAACCTCTGCTGGTGGTATGTGACTAATTACAGCCGGCGAGGCTGTTAGAAGATGTTAATTATGATCTCTTGATGAATGATGCTCGGAGACCTCCAGCCTGCGGCTCTGGCTGGCAGGAGAGGCAGGATGTGGTTGGGGGGGACGGGAGGTTAAACAAACCCGCCAGCCGAGACGTTTGATTTTCAAGTGCTCCAGGCGCTCCAGAGGCAAGAGGTGGCTGGGGGAGGATGGAGACCCATCGCTGGGTGGCGCGTGGCTCCCTTGGGTGGGGGGACGGGGATGCCAGCTCCCCAGGGCAGCTGGGTAGCCCCACTGGGAAGATGTAGGACTTTGCAGTGGGAGATCGGGCACCCAGCTTGGGGTCTGGGGCAGATGGAGCACTCAGAGACACAGTCAGGTCAAATCTTCGCCTGCCCTTCTCCATGCCTCAGTTTTCCCCTCTGTGGGAAAGAGAAAAAGGACCTATGAGTGCTGGGTAATGCAAGACCTGATTGTGGTAGATCAAAGCATGTCCATGGCTGCTCCAAATCCAGCCCAGGTTGTAGGCACAGCAGCCTTTTAATTTAGCTCTGGCTCCACTGGGATGAGTTGTGGGGCCACCAAATCACCTAACTTCTTCTTCTGTCTCCCCTCCAAGCTGGACAAGATGCTGGACCCTCAGGTGTGGCGGGAGGCAGCTACACAGGTTTTCTTCGCCTTGGGCTTGGGCTTTGGAGGAGTCATCGCCTTCTCCAGCTACAACAAGCAGGACAACAACTGCCACTTTGATGCCACACTCGTCTCCTTCATCAACTTCTTCACGTCCGTCCTGGCCACCCTGGTTGTATTTGCTGTGCTGGGCTTCAAGGCCAACATCATGAATGAGAAATGTGTGGTGGAGTAAGATTTGCTTTTTCTCTGTTTGGGGTGGGCAGGTCTTTGCTACTGCTGGTTGTGGTGGGTCTGAGGGCGGTCGAGTAAGTGCTCTGGAGCTGGGTGATACTGTGTTTTGGTGGACCCGGGTTCCTGATAGTCAAGATGTGGATTTCCAAACATGTCCCACTGTAGCTGAGGGAGTTGGGTGTTCAGCTCCTCCAACCTAAAATCTGGCCCTAAGATGGGCTCTTAGTCTGCAAATTGAGGGTAAATCCAACATGTCTAGTCACATCACCTGGGTTTCCCCCAGTTTCCACTCATCGTAGGGTCCAGTTGTCTGCAAGGTTAAGGGAGCTGCTATGCTGTAGCCTAGAAACAGCTGGAGGAAGGTGAAGTTGTGCACCTGGATATCTTTTGTTATCTTTAGACAGTGAGCTGCATCCATAAAAATCTGGGCCATGCAGTGTGGAGTCCCAGAGGAGGAGATAAACCTGAGAAGGAAGCGCGGAGAGCCCATTCCCTGGTGGGCCCCCATCTGCATCTTCTGTCATGTGGCCTAATGCAATGTTTACTTACACCCTGGGAAATTGCAAAGATGTCCTCTGGCTGAGACCTGGGTAACATGACCCAGGGAGGTTCATCCTGCCTGGGGCAAAGGGCTTGAATGGTCAGGCCCTGTCCTCCACCCTGGGAGGAAGGGGACATCTCTGGGTGACCAGGCTCTGCTCTCCCTTAGGAATGCTGAGAAGATCTTGGGCTACCTGAACACCAACGTGCTGAGCCATGACCTCATCCCACCCCACGTGAACTTCTCCCACCTCACAGCCAAAGACTACAATGAGATGTACAGGGTGATCATGACAGTGAAAGAGGGGCACTTCAAAGAACTGGGCTTGGACCCCTGCCTGTTGGAGGACGAACTCAACAAGGTACCTGGTGGCACTCCTAGTAGGACCAGGAGGTCACCTACCCCATTGCCTCTCCCTGGTAGGAGCTGCTTGACTTGTGTCACCCTGGCACGTGGATCTGGAAAAACTGTTTTGAGAGACCCTCCAGGGATGGGAATTCCCTGTCCCTGTGGTCTTCCCCAGCACACAGTGGTCCTTCCTGGGATGGGGGAAAGGTTTGCCCGTAGCGAGTCTAGCAGGGTCATCACCGATTCCAGGCTGGGGTACCAGACTGGATTTTTCTTTTCTTGAAGAGTGGTTCAATGAGAGAGACCTGAGGCATGCAGGGGCTCTTGCAGGCTGTGTCCCTGACACGTTTCTTCTCATCTTTTGGTCCTCTCTCCCCCTGAACAGTCGGTGCAAGGAACTGGCCTGGCCTTCATTGCCTTCACAGAAGCCATGACCCACTTCCCAGCCTCACCGTTTTGGTCCGTCATGTTCTTCCTGATGCTGATAAACCTGGGGTTGGGGAGCATGATCGGGACCATGTCAGGCATCACTACGCCCATCATCGACACCTTCAAGGTGCGGAAGGAAGTGTTCACAGGTGAGGTCTTTTCTCCTGCAACCTCCTGGGGAAGGGGTGGAGGGTCCCCATTGCCCTGGGGAGTGGCTCCAGAAGAGTGTGGACACAGTGGATGTGTACTGGGCCCTGCTAATGCAGGGAATGGACCTTCTGGTGGAGGCCTCGGTTCCCCTTGGGGTGCTCTGCTGACCATGCCCGTTTGCTCCCCACAGTTGGTTGCTGCATTTTTGCCTTCGTGGTGGGACTGATCTTTGTGCAGCGCTCTGGGAATTACTTTGTCACTATGTTTGACGATTATTCAGCCACGCTGCCGCTCACGGTCGTGGTCATCCTGGAGAACATCGCTGTGGCCTGGATTTACGGCACCAAGAAGTAAGGTGTTTGTACAACAAAAAGAATAACTGTGCTGTAACTGCTGGCTTAAAAAAACCCCTCCTTCCAGCTCTTTTCCATATGACTTTTTCCCCAGGAGGCCAGCTCTGATGGAGCAAATGCCCCAGAGGCAGCTACCTCATAGAGGCAGGAACTCAGTTCACCTTGATCCTCTTGCCCTGCCCTAGGTGTAACCCAGCCCCAGGAGCAGGTCCTTCTAGTCGGTATCTACTGTTGGTTGTGGTGCTCTGTCACTTGTGATTATCCTTTTGTCTGAGGTTTCCAGGCCCTTCTGGAAGGGGACCTTGTTCCCTCCAGAGCCTGTCCTTGTTCATAAGTTGGCCAGAGCAAAGGAGGCTTTGGCTAATGCTCAAACGGCCTTTTCCTTAGGAGGTTCCCAACCATTCCTACAGGCTTGAAGGACACTGAGATGCTTGCCTGGATCAGCTGGGTTCTTCTTCAGGCTCTACCTTGAGCATAATTTACAACGGGGGCTCCTGGGAGGCAGTTTGTCACTTGAAGGTGGGGAACGGCATGGTTCCATCTCTTCTTCTTGGCAGGTTCATGCAGGAGCTGACGGAAATGCTGGGTTTCCGGCCCTATCAGTTCTACTACTACACCTGGAAGTACGTCTCTCCCATCTGCATGGCCGTGCTCATGACCGCCAGCATCATCCAGCTGGGAGTGAGCCCCCCGGGCTACAGTGCATGGATCAGAGAGGAGGTGAGCACAGCTCCCTTCCCTGCAGCCACCTCCACCCCAGGTCCAGGCTGAGCAGGGGGCAGCTGAGAGCTTGCAGACCACCCTGCTCTTCACAGCTCTGCTCATTTCTCCTCCCCTCTGCTGCTGGGAGATGTCCTGCTTGTGGCTGCTCGTCCTCTGCAAGCAGTCAGGTTTGTCCACACTGCCCAGAAGTCTCCAGCTCTGACCATGGGCTGAAGTTTGAGCTTGGATTTTGGTTTGCTTCCACAGCTACGCGCTGTGTGCAGGACCATGTCCTTTTCCTTGATTTGAACCCACCTTCTGATAGCTTCATGTGGTGCCCTGAGGATGAAGTCTGGCAGGAGGCAGCAGGAATTGCCTAGCACTTAGGAGACGTTGTACCTGGTGTGCATCACCTTTGCTGTAACAGCCCCTTGACACTAATATCTGTCTCTTCCAGGCTGCAGAAAAGTTCCTTTTCTACCCAACCTGGGCCATGGCTATCCTCATCTCTCTGATCATCCTGGCATCCCTCCCTCTGCCTCTGGTCTTCATCCTCCGGCAGTTCCACCTTGTGTCGGACGGCTCCAACGCCCTTTCTGTCACCTACAAGAAGGGCCGGATGATGAAGGACATCTCCAATTTGGAAGACAATGATGAGACCCGCTTCATCCTGAGCAAAGTCCCCAGCGAGACCCCGTCCCCCATGCCCACGCACCGTTCCTACCTGGGTCCCGGGAGCAACTCCCCCATGGAAATGAGCAGTGCCCCCAACGGACGATACGGGAGTGGGTACCTACTGGCCAGCACCCCTGAATCTGAACTGTGATGGTTGCCTGCCGACCACCCCCACCGGGAGAGGAGGTCACTGGGGAGTGGATCCTGGCTGTCCAGGCAACAGGAAAATTAATAATAAGGAAGATGAAGAAGAAACCCCTCTCAAAATCGTAACCAAAAGCAGCCATTTCTAAGGTGACATCGGGAAGAAGGGACTGCGGGAGGGGCAGGACTCCTCCGACAACCCTCATCTGAAAGGCAGGATCCCCCAGGCTTGCCTTCGAGGAAGGGAGGAGGAACAAGAGACGCTGCAATATCTTTCTGAGAGTTGTTCTCGCACAGCTCAGATCTGAAGCAAAGAATCTCTCTTTTCTAAGCAGCTGATGTTTGGAAAAAGGACCTGGTGTCGGGTGGAAAGCCAACCACGCTTCCTCCTGTAACCCAGCGCTCTTCCCTCCCTGTCTGTTGTCCTTTAGCCGGGAGGAGTCATGGCCTTATTCCAACGAGCACAATTAACCATCGATGTTCATAGCACAAAAAGGTGCTGCTGTTGTCACCGTCGTTGTTGTTGTTGTATCTCCTGTAGTTTTTATAGCTGTGGACACACCCAAATAACCCCCAAATTTTGACCAGGGTTGGCAGGGAGCAGCGCGGGGCTGGCTGAGACGTTGCAATGTGTGAGACTGCGGATGGTGGATCCTTGGTACGTGTTTTGTTACCACCAGCATGGGGACAGTGTCTGTGGGTTGGTCTGAGACAGGGAGATGTCGCGTCCATGGGACGATGTGGTCCGCGTGCTCCGTGGTTAGGCAGTTATCGTGCTGAGTGGCAGAAGGACCTCTGAAGTGAGGGTGATTTGGATGTGTGAGCGTGTGTGGGGTCTGGATAGGGTTACTGCGACGGGGGTCAGGAGCGCTCTCCTGGAGTTACTCCTGACATGTGGGATGCTCTGCTGAACCAAAATCCCTGGCGTGGTGATCGTCTCCTCTTGCCACCCTCTTTAGATGTCCCAGAGGGACAAGCAGAGAAGCTGTGGGGTATCCAGTCCTACCACAGTCCTGGTTTAGCTCTCAGGAAACCACCCCCTGACTTACCTCCCTTGCACCCACCAGCTGAGGTGAGCTGGGCCGTGATTATCTCTGGACATACATTCTCATTTCTCATAGCGTCGAGCCAGGGGGTCTGCATTGCCTCCCACTGCATCTCCACAGGGGCTCACCAGCCCTCGGATGGGGGTAACCAGCTCCTGGGGACAGCAGAGGTCTGCTGAGCAGCAGCAGTGCCAGGTCCCGGTGTCCCCGCTAGCCCTTGATCCAGGCTGGTGAGCCCTTGTTAGAGCCCAGGGGCCTCTGTCATGCCCATCCATGTTATCTGGGGACCAGATTAATGTGACCTTATGTTGTTTCTCCTCATGCTACCTAGGAAAGGTTGGGATCTCCCAGCTCAGAGTCTCTCCCACTGGGACTGAGGGTCATTTCCCTGAATCCTACATGTAGCCGAGCATTTCTGTCAAGGATACCAGTATTACGTGGCGTCTTCCTCCTTTCCCCATGGGGACAAGGGTGCAGCAGCCTGCTTGCAGCCTCTTTCCCTCTCAGCACGTTGCTACGGCCTCCAAAAGCCAAGGGAGCTCCTCATCCTTGGTCCTGCTGGGCTTAGATCATGCGTGGTGGTATTTCAAGCCAGTCTGAAGGCCGAGTTTGTGGGTGCTTGCCCACGAGCCCTTCTCTCCTTTGCTTTCCTATCAATGGGTTTTCTTCCACCTCAATTCTCCTTTCTGCTGGGAGGCGAAGGCAGAAAGTACCTGGTCCATTCACTACATCCTTGACTTCTTTTAGCATCCCTGGGGCCAGGAGGTCCCCCACCATGACGTTTGTCTTGTGGGTTGTGATCCTTTATTTATAGTCCTTCTCCATGAGCTCGGCTGGTGACCTGGAGACTCTTCTCGGACAATTAGCCCAGGCCCTTCGATAGCCACTTTTCCAGGGGGGGAAATTGAGGCATGGACTGAAACAAAGCACTCAGTCTTTGATGGCTCTGAGAAGCACCAGCCCCGCGTGGTCAGGATCAGCCATGCTCTTGTCTCTCCTCCAGCAGTCCCCCCTTCACCATCCCCTCCTCTGTCTTTCTCCTTCCCCTGCCCGTGCAGAAGGACACAGAAATATCCCCACCGCATCATCTCCAAATGGGAGAAGCAGAAAACCTGTGGCATTTCCCCATCATGAGGCAAGATGTTCCTTCCCATCTCTTCTTTCTCCCTCTGTCCCCAGTTTCCTCCACCCAACCAGCAAAACAGAGGATGAGCCAAATCATTGCCCAATGTCACCTTCCCGATGCCCTTGAGCCCGGGGGCTGGATTCCCACCATAGCTCCCATGGAGTTAACGGAGCAGGACACCTCCCGTAGCCAAAGTGCTTAGTCCCGTCCGCTCCCATGGCGTGATGCTCCTCAAACCCTGGGGGTAAGGATCCGGCCCTCCGTCTCTCCCATCACCATTCCCAAACCAGCCAGGGAGACGTTTGCTTTCCTCCCCTCTTCTTGCAGCATCAATAAGAGGCAAAGTCAATAAGAAGGTAACAAAAAAGCTATATTATATATATATAAAATATATACAGAGAGAGGAGATGGAATAATAACTTAGAGATTCTCTATTTCGATTGTATATTTATTCTGTAAATGTCACTGTAAATGCTGTTAAATGACAAACCGTATTCCAAAGTGGCCCGTGACATATTTTCATTCCCAGTGCTGTACAGATCAATTCTCATTGTATATCGGGACATATTTTTACCTTTTTATTTCTCGTGCGTGGTGGGTGGCCGTCCCCCGCCCAGCCCCAGAGGGTCCAGCTGCCCTGGGGATCCAGCAGAGAGGAGGAGGAGGAGGGACGACACCTTTATTTTTATCAGTGGAAATACTGTATTTCTTCGTGGCATTTGCTCGGTGTTAGACACAGGGTGTTGGGGGGTGTGCGTGTGTAAATTTTAAGTGATCCGTGTCGTCGCCGTGTGAGCGTGCGCGTGTTCGTCTGTAGATGCCGTGCGTGGGGATGTGCGTGTGTATGTGTGCGTGGATGTGTTTTGTTTAGGATTCACTTCTCGCTGTACTCGATCACTTTTGGAGCCTGTGTTGGGGGGTTCTCCCGCTTGCCGGGGCAGGCTCTCCCTCCACGCACCTTCTTGGGGTCCCGGGCTGTGGATCGGGCCGACCCCCCGTGGCTTTTAGCCCTAGAAATCACTTTTTTTCCCTCTTTTTCTCCACGGAGGCACAGGGAATAGCTGCTAGTTGTGAGCACAGACACTTTTCAGTTTTCCTCCGGGCAGTGGGAGAGGGAGGGGGAAACCGCTGCCAATATTCCTGTCCCCCCCCCCATCAGCTCGCCCCCTCGGTTCCCAGCCCGGATCCTGTTGCTCAGAGCAGGACGGTGTCCCTGGCTGGGGGACAATGAGGTGCTGGGTAGATCAGGAGGGGTCAAAACCCTGTCCCCTCTCTGGGGACAGAGCTGGGGAGGGGTTAAGTGGGTCTGGAGAGGGGATGGCTGGTGCCGAGGGCAGAAAGGAGCTTTGCAGGAGGGTGCCCACCCCGTGACAACTGTGCTGCGGGTCCGAGGGTGCGTGCAGTCCCCGTAGGGCTGGAGCTGGGGTGCTCCATCCCCGAGCATGGGGCTCTGCTGCCGGTGCTGTGGGCGGGGGCTGGATCTGCCCTTGACCCTGGTGCAAAGCAGAGGGGATGGCTGGAGCTGGCCGTGCTCTGCTGATTTGCACCTTCCCCGGGTGTCCCTTGGCCCATTCCCCTTGATCCCTCCGAAACAGCCCCTGCTTCACCTCCTGGCCCCCACCCAGACCCCGGCAGGTCACGTTAAACCCCAGCACCTCCCTAGAGCAACTCCCACTGCCTTCCTCCTGTCCCCCATCCTTCCCCGAGCCTGGGTCTCACTGGCAGGAGCGGGGAGCAGAGCCGGGTGGCCTTGGTGGCTGGGGGTGACACAGCACAGCCCGGGCAGAGCCACGGCAGCACGCAGGATGCGGCCGCTTCCCCTGCGGCCAAGCACAACGCTGGCGAAACCCTCCTGTACAGGTAAAAGCACAGATCTCGTAGTAACTCGTCCCATGTATCCTCGTAGCCGGTGTATTTACCACGCGTGCCGTGCCGGCCGGACTCCTCGGCAGTCGAGAGAAACCCTGTAACAGCTGTAACGGAGTCCGATTAAAAGTCTCTTCTTACCAAATCTCTTCTCACCAAGTCTCTTCTCTGCCTCTGTTTCCTTTCTTGGGGTGGGTTTTGGGGTCTGTCTGAGGTTTGGGGTTGCAGACAGCTAAAGCAATGGGCATTGGGGCTGTCGGCACCCACGGGCATTGATGTCTCTGTCCTTCCCGGTCCTGTCCTGTCACCCCTATTGTCCTTCTGTCTCCCCTCATCCTCTGATTCCCTTCCTCCATCCAGCATCGGTCCCGGCAAGGGGCTTGCTCAGGGCACGGCTGCCCACAGGTGCTTCAGGAGCATCGGTGGAGGTGATCTTCCAGCCTGGACCAGTTCAACCAGTACACACTGGCTTTACAGGGCACACGGACCGGTAAGGTGCAGTGTCTGCTCCTCTGTGCAATGCCCTGGTAACATTGCTGGTGGCTTATCCTGAGCACTGGGAGTACCGGGAGTCTGGAGACCCTCCCTGGAGAAGGACCAGAGATTTCCAGCAGCCCTCAGATGACTTCAGCTGCCGAATATTAGCTTAGTAACAGTCCTGGTAGGGAGCAGGGCTGCTGCTTCCCTTGTCTCCTGTCTTTTGTAGCTCATTTGGCTTCTCCAGGGCTGATCCAGCCTGGGGAACATGAGGAAGGGGGAAAGAAAACAGGACGGATGGGACCAGATGAGATCTGCCAGCACTGGGGATGCCATCAGGGTATGGCTGCGGCCGTGAACTGAACTCATCTCCCTGCAGTGGCAGCCACGCAGGAGCAGGGCAGTTTTTCTGAGCACCTCTGCATCACTTGGAGACGTTGGTGTAGGACTGGGGTGAGTGTCTGCAACAGGGGCTGGAGGAGCAACACTGCCCGTGCTGGAGGCAGGAGGTGGCACACGGGTTATCTTTGCCCAGAGTCCCTCCACAACCTGGCTCCGGGGGAAAACACCCCCCAGGGGCGATGGACCAGGGAGAAGGGGACATGTAGGACAGCTCTGACCCCAGCACAGCCCCAGCCTGTGGGAGCAGGGACGGAGATGCTCCTGGCTCCTCCTCGTCCTCAGTGAGGTGGCACAGAGGGGGATGCGGGATTACGGCTGCAGCACCCATTGAGCCTGGCTCAGGGCGATGCCCAGGGCTGTGCGGTACCCACACGTGGTGCTCACTGCTGTGCTGAGCTGTCCAGCCTCAGCCCGCCCCTGCGCTCCCACTGCTGTGTGCGCTGGGTGGCTCTGGGCTTGGGAGGAGGTTCAGACCCCGAACCCAGGGAGGGGACACGTGTCCCCACTGCTGGACTGTGTCTGAGGACAAGGCGCTGGCAGGCTGCTGCGACGCCAGCTTGTCCCCAGGCCACCCCCCAGCGCGGAGGCGCCTCATTTTGTTTTATCCCCTTTTCCTCTCCCAGGCAGGGAGAGGGGGCAGCTGTCTGCAAAAGCAAACCCTGCCAAACCCCCAAGCAGCAGCTCTGCTGCATCTTTGGGATTGCAGCTATCGCACGGGTCTGGGTGAGCTGCTGCCGTGGAAAAGCTCCAGGCCGGGGGGGGAGTGGGGCAGGATTCGGCTCCATCCACCCCCCCCCAGGAAGCTGAGAGTGGGTCTGGGGGGCCAGAAGCCCCCAGCTCCTGGTGCCAGGGGCACCATTGGCAAAACCAATGAATGAAACAAACTGAAAAGAGTGATTCTGGCCCTCGTGGGGCTAGAAAAAAGACGCAGGGAAAAGAGCCCAAATGTAGAATTTAAGGCAAATACATGCTTTTTTTTAAAAAATACTGAATTTCCTGTGACAGTGAGGCGGGGAGCCTGCAGAGCCTTGTGGGAGGGGAAGGCTGGTGCCATTGGATTGGGGGGTGGTTTTTGGGTGTCCCATCTCAAAACAGCTCTGGACCCGGGGTACGGATGCATGGTGGGTACAGACACACGGTGGAGCTGCTAACAGCAACACCTTGCTGTGGTTCCCTAAGCGCCTAGGGAAGAAAGCCAGAGGCAGTTATCATGGGGAAACCGAGGCACAGCACCAGCTCATGAACTCCTCCCGGTCATTCCAAAGGCAGAGGATCACCACCACCATCCCCGCTCCGGCCCAGCCTCCTCCCACTCCCAAATTGCTTTTATTGGAGCAAAATTGCATCAGCGCTGCCGCGGATGGAGCCAGATTCACCGCCGGACCGAGACACCCTCCGCCGCCTGTTTTATTTCCTTGCCTTGGCTCCAGCCTGTGTTGCAGGACCCACAAGATGGCACTGTGTGACAGCAGCACGGGGACTCTGCCACCCGTGTCCTCGGGAGAAATTTGGGGTGCAGGCCCTACACGGGAGTTGGGATGAGCTAGCTCCCCTTGCAGGCAGAGGTCGTGGAGGGATGGAGCTGCAAACTCTGTCCGTGCAACCTGCGCAGCCCAAATATCTGTGCTCAGCTGGCGATAAGCAATTTTAGCTGAAAAATTCACCCGGCAGAGGCGGATGGCAGAAATGAAACTTGCCCACGGCTTGCGACAGCTTCTTTGGGAAGACCCACCTCCAAGAGAGCGTCCTGAAAGGTTGCTTGGGGCTCGTGCCCTGGGGAGCTGCTCTGCAGCATCAGCACCCTGTGGTGCCGTGGGTGCCACCACCCACAGACCGGAGATGGACCTGTCCCACCAAAAGCATGAAGGGAAGAAGGCAGAGACCTTGTTTGGAGCATCTAGGCATTGCTGAGGTCAAAGTATCTTTTTATTAACAGAATCCTGGGCTGGAAGGACCTGGAGAGGTTGGTTTGTCCATCTCTACCCCAACGCAGGATCGTCTCTCCCTGAAGTGAGCTGCAGTCCACCTTCCTCCTCCATCCCTCCATGGATGGAGACACTGCATGATCCCAGCCTGTCCCCAACCTCTCCTTTAGGCCACACAGCCCTCCAAGCATCCCGTGGCCCGTTGTGCTGGTCTTGGTGTGCCAAGCTGGAGACGTGTCCGATGTGCTGGGCCATGGGCAGGGCTCAGGGTGCTGTGCCGGGTCAGGGGGAGAGACAGTGCAGAGATCAGTGTGGGGGACCCAGAGACCCCTTACCGTGTCCTCAGGACTCACCCGAGGGCTGTGGCTTTCCAGGTTGGAGCTGATCGTCCTTGAGATCTTCCAGGTCCTGCTGTTCGTTCCATCCTTTACCTGGATGTTATCTGAGATGCCTTCAACCTTGCAGGAGGTCCCTGCAGAAGTGACTCCCTCTTGCTCCAAAAAGGCCCTTATTCATCAAGCTCTTTCTATTTTCTCTCTTTCTCTCTCTCTCTTTTTTCTTTTTTTTTTCATGGACATTAAAAATCTGAAGGCATATTTAGAGAGCAGACAGCTTTGGGCGGGTGTTGCTGGCTAAAAGATCTCTTCCTTCCCCAGATACAACCCATTTGTCTGCCTGGCCACCTCCTCCCGCCCCAGGAACGGCCGTGCTCGGGTGCACGAAGATCTCCCCAGGATGAAAGTCGCCGGATAAAATATTAGCATCAGGTCGCAGCATTCCTTTCTCCTGGCCAAACTCGCATTACTGATGATGAGGAGCTGAGCTGCGATGCCTGGCCGGTGATGCAAGGCTCGATTTTTCCAGCACGGTTTTCCTTCGGGCTCCACGCTCTCCCGCTGGTGCAGCCCCGGGTGGTTTGGGTGTGGAGCTACGCCAGCCTCCACCCGCTCAGGATCCGGCCCTGGAAGCTGTCGAGTTGCAGTTACAGTTGGAGCAGGGCTTTCGTGGTGGTAAGATTTTAAGCGCGGCTCTCGTGCCTCGTGGCTTTTTGGGTGGAGTGTGTTTGCCCCAGCCACCCCCGACGTCCTCCAGTAAGGGGGTGAGCGTGTCACCGAGGGGACAAACCTGGGCAGGGGGTGAGGAGGGGACCTGGGACCCTGGGCCGGGGGGGGGCCGCTCCACAGAGCCCAGGGAGGTGCAGAGAGGGATGCTGGAGTGGGGCAGCATCGCCCACTCACTGTCCCCTCGCCCTGCACCAAGGACCCCCTTATCCAAGTGCTGACCCCCCAGCTCAGCCCCCCACCCCAATAACAGGCCTGTGCTGGGCTTGGATCCCACCTATGACCCCAAAGCACCCGCCTCCATCCCCCCCCAGCACCAGCAGTGCCAGTGCAGGAGTAAACAGCTCTGGCAGGACCGGGTCCCTTGGGTCTTCGTCTTGGTGGCCGGCTTGTCGCCTGGGGCAGCTCTTCACCTCCTCCCCAGCCCCAGGAGGTGGGACTGAGCATCACCAGCACTCCAGGGGTGTAAGAGCCCCCCGAGGAGGGGGGTTTAGGGGAAGGGCCCCTGGGGCTGGGGTGGTTGGTACCCTGAGTCCCAGCCTCAGCATCCACGGGTGCAGCTCCGGGGAAGGGGCATCTTCCACGCAGGAGGCGAAACAACAGAGAGAGATGCTCGGGGAGGGTCGTGGGAGGGAAGGAGGGCCAGGTCTGCCTGCAGCCACCCAGCTCCCCACCGGCCATGGACCCTCACTCGAGGTCGGTCTCTCCTGACCTCTCGGTGAGCGAGGGATTGCGAGCCAGGGAGGGATGGGATCTGCTCGAGCCTCTGCCAAGAGCTGGCTCCAGATCCGCAGGCAGCTCTGGGCTGCATTTCCCCTCCAGCGCGAAGCGGAGCTGGGGTGTCCGGGGTTCACTCCTCGCTGACACCGAGCCCCCGAGAGCCTCACTTGC